TTTTTAAAGAATTTTATTTTAATCTTGTTTTAAGCATCTCTTGGATTCACATTGTAACTGTAAATCAATTAAACAAAAGCAATTTAAGATAAAGTTAAGAAATCAGAATATTTCAAAATCATGTAAATTGAAGTTGTCAAGTTTATTTTTCAGTGTCCTTGGCTTTTGTTATCTTGTCACCATCTTTATATTGTTAAAAATATATGTCTTTTGGAGATTGCATATAAAGATGGTTATAATTGCATATTCCATTCCCAATTTATGTGTGTGTTGTGGGAGAGAGACTTTTTTAGGTGACTATTAATTGCTTTGTACATCTAATTTTGGGGACGCAAGTATATAAGACATCGTGTGATCTCTTAACTTTTTGTTTGTATGTTTTTAAAAAATACCACTGTCCTTTATTATGTTTTGGAAATTAAAATTAATTTTCCTAAATTCATGTGCAAATAATGCTTTGAGGATATAAGTATTTTATATTAAACATTTCCAATTAATTAAATTGAGTTGTAATTTTTTCTAAAGAAGCACAAGCCATTGTTATAAATAAATTTCTAAATGCATGATGTCCTGAGCATACCATGTAACTGCTGCTTACATTAATTTTTCTCCCAACTTTAACAAGTATATACTTAATTTGAATGTCAGTTCAGGGAAATTTTTTAGTACAGGTTGAGCATCCCTAATCAGATAGGAAAAATGTTCCAAAAATCTAAAATCCAGATGTTCCAGAATCTAAAGCTTTTCGAATACCAATGTAATGCTACAAATGGAAAATTCCACACCTGACCTCATGTAATGGTTCACAGTCAAAACACAGGTACACTAAAAATATTGTGTAAAATTACCTCAGCATATATGTGTATGAAATAAAAATAAATTTTATGTTTAGACTTGTGTCTCATACCTTGATATATCAAGGGTCTACAAATGTTCCAAAATCCAAAATTCAAAGTACTTCTGCTCCCAGACATTTCAAATAGGGATATTCAACCTGTAACTACTATTAGCCAACATTTTGCTAAGCACAAAAAATAAACTTTTTAAACTCATTGAAAAAGAAATGCTCTTATTCCTGAGTAATTTATGGACACACAAATAACTTAAATATTCTCTGGTAAGAACAATGGAGTGTCTTTGGGAACTTGGTGGGGATTGGGGAGGAGTCGTTCAGCTTTATAGTGTGTGTGTGTGTGTATATATGGATACCTGTGTGTGGGTGAAAGTGAATGAGGGGAGATAAAAAATAGTGAAAAGGGTTGTTAGTAGCCAGAGAAATCATTTGTAAATATTTGTAAAAAATAAATAAATTTTTCTATTAATTTACGAAGATTGGGATTAAACAAAAAAGACTTTTTTAAAGTCATATCTAATCACTGGAATAGGACTTTGTAAAATCTTAATACCTCTTTAAATTAGTTTTTTTTTCTTCTTATGTCAAGAAAAAAAGTTCTACGCTTGTCATATAGAGCCCATCCTATTTTGTTCCAGCCTGTGTTCTATCCTGATCTTTCTATTGTCTTCTACCTTTTAGTTATGCAGAATTATTTATTCATGCTCTAAGTACTTCTCTCTGTAGCTTATTCTTTTTTAAGAAATTCTTTTTGTAGTTGTAGATGGATAGAATGCCTTTATTTTACTTATTTTTATGTGGAGCTAAGGATCGAACCCAGTGCCTCACATGTGCTAGACAGGTGCTCTGCCACTGAGCTACAGCCCCAGTCCACTGAGCTTATTCTTGAGGAAGTTTGAGAGGTTTTCCCATGAGCTGTTAAGACATGGTTCTGTGTGTATTGAGCTTCTGCTGCTGTGGCCTGGGTGGTCTCTTCTGTTAAAACTGAATACAACCCTTCTGGGGATTGGAGAAATCAGTCAGTACTTCTATAAAGACAGTGTTTTGTGTTCTACAAAATGAAAATGAAGTGGGATTATGGACTGTTGTTCCATGACTGAATTTTAAAGCCCAAACCGTAGATGGTCCTCTGGAATTGGTATTGTATTTATACCTGTAGGCCTTGCATATGCTATTTCCTTTTCCTAGTACATCCTTTCACTACTTCTTGTGAACTTTTTTTTTTTTCCTTCAAAAACTAACTCTAGCTGGGCATGGTGGAGCCTATAATCCCAGAGGCTAGGGAGGCTGAGACAGGAGGATTGTGAGTTCAAAGCCAGCCTCAGCAACAACAAGGTGCTAAGCAACTCAGTGAAACCCTGTCTCTAAATAAAATACAAAATAGGGCTGGGGATATGACTCAGTGGCTGAGTGCCCCCGAGTTTAATCCCAGTATCAAAAAACAAAAACAAAAACAAAAAAACCTCTAATGTCACCACTCCCACATCTGTTCAAGCAGAATAATTCATTCTCTCCTGCATCCTCATAATAATTTGTATATGTATTACATCTCTCTTATTACAGTATTTATACACGTTAGTCTTTGTGTTCTATAACCTCCTTAAAGACTGGAAACATTTTGATTTTCTTTATTTAGAAAATTGAGTAAGCACTCAATAAATGATCCTCAACAGATTTGGAATTAAGTATGGATGAAGCAATTTGGAACTCCTCTCTGGAGCAGTTTTTATGTTCAGTTTCCGGTATGTTGGTGATTTGGGGACTCCCTCACCCTTTGGTACTGAGATTGAACCCAAAGGCACTCAACCACTGAGCCACATTCCCAGACCCTTTTTTTACTTTAAGACAGGGCCAGCAAAAGTTGCTGAGGCTGACTCTGAACTAGGCAATTTTCCTGCCTCATTGGAATTATAGGTGTGTGCTTGGGACATTTCTTGATGCATAACAAGATTTAAAGACTTTCATATGAGATTTGAAATATTTCATATAAAGAATTTCCTTAAATGTAAATGCAATAAATATTTTTTTCTGAGCATTTAAATACCAGAGAGAAAATCTGTTTCATCTTTAGGTGAAAATCCAAAATTCTTGGTAAGGCTTTTAAGCTACCACAGTTAGCTTCATTCTCAATCTATTTGCCATATGTTCCTATCCTGCTGCAGCAAGTATCTTAAATTTTTTGTATTAACAGTACACTTTTCCACCTACTGATCATGACCAAGAATTTCAATTAAGAACTCAATTCTTAATACTAACCATAACCATATCTTCCCACTGAAATACCAACTAGTCTATTCAAGCCCCAGCTTAAACATTATCTTTTCTGATAAATTCCCTCTACTTTTCCCAATTGGAGTTAATCTTACTTTTGGCAATCTCAAGGTTTAATCTCACCTACTACTCTGTCTCATAGACACAGTTATTCTAAGAATGCTATGATTAAAGTTATAATTACAGAAAATGTCAAGTTAAATGGAATTTATAAAATGATGAATCTATTTAGAAACAAATGAACAGGCTGCAGATTTTTTATTACTTTTATTTTTTTAAAAGGTATAGATTTTGAAACTATAAATTATGTTTTGTAGCAGATAATATAACAGATTTTTTTAAGTTCTAAAATTCTCTACTTGGAATATAATTTAAGGAAATTTTTTTTTTCTTTTGTGTCCTGGAGCTTAAACAAAGGAGAACTACAAAGCTTGAAATCTCTTTAGATTTTATGAACACTTGTAATACAATACAGGCATTAGTTCCCAAGAATTTTCATATTTCTTAGTTCTTAACCAGCAACCCCATGACACAGGCAAAGATCATCATACCTCATTTTTTGGGTGGAAAAACCAGCTCAAATATCTTAGGTGGTTAACAAAATCAAACATTAAGTGTTAAATCCAGGGTTTGAGCCCAGGTTTTCTGAACATAAGCACAGGAATGTTTCCAAATTGTTGTGATTCTCAAGATTTTTTTTAGCTTTTAGGAGTAGGCCATCAAAAATAATAATTTCCATTAATAATACTTGTTATCTGAATGTTTCTCTTGTTCTGAATTGTCAACAAAAAATATTTCTTAAGACTTTAAAATTGTGCTTAGTTAATGTAATTTTCAGCTTTTTTTTCTCCTCACACAGTGTGGCAAATAAATTTCTTATAAATTTACTGATATTTTATAGGGTCAATTATGCACATGTGTTCAATGGTTACTTATATTTTTTAAACTTTATAAAAGAAGAAAATATGAGACAATCTTGAAAAAACATGCTTGAAATATTGAAATATCAACTAGTCTATTTTCCTAATGCATAAAATGACATTGAAGATGACTTAGCTAGTAAAAGATTTTTAAGAGAAATGTTCTCTAGACATTACAAAACGTGTTTTTCCCCAGAGAACTCCCAGAGATACATAAAGTAAAATGTAAATTGTTATTTGATATTAAATCTTAGCTTCCACAGGAATTTCAACAAACTTAATCGACTTCTACTAGATTTATATGATAAAAACAACTGTTCTAATACATTTTTATTTGATTCCTTCCTAGTAGAGGATATCCTTTCTTAAGAGTTCTTCATGTAGATAAAAACCCTAAGCCTCACATTCAATAGCAAATTAATCAACAAAGATATCTTCACAGCTCTCATTTATGTTAAGTGATTACTGTGTGTTGGGCACTATTCTAAGCAATGTTGTGAGGATTAAATTAGTTAATTAGTTTAATCCATCACAGCAGCTCTACCAGTAGTTTGCTTTACTGTTACTATTCCATCTTATGCATAAGGAAGAAGACTGTGATTACAGTGAATGATTTCCAGATTTTATATTAAAAAGGCAAATTTACAAGACAATAGCTTTCTGACACAAACTAATGATTGTTTTTTTATATAGTTATGTATATATTATTGAAGCAGGTAGGTATAGATAGTCTGGGCATTTTTATGCTTACACATCCTAAATCCTAGGAGAACTCGGTATGTATGGATCTATCAAATTTGACTGGTAGATTCAGAAAAGTTGGAAATTATACATGAATTATTTGTAAATGAACCACTTGTTAAAGGCAAGGAGAGTGTTAGTAAAGAGCTTAGCTACCTAGATTAGAATAAAGAAATTGTCTCTCCCCATCTGTTCTAATTAGCTTATCTTGTCTGCTTTCATAGCATGCTGGTTATTTCAGAAAAGAAGTGAGAGCTACTCTGAGAAGACACCATTTTATTCACACTAATTTATAATGATTTTGGAGTGGCTGTCCATTCTCAAACACAAACTTTTAAATCTTGGACCTTTCCTGTAACAATTTGTTACTGGAATTTTCAAGTCTTTGTATGCTCAGTTAAGGATTTTGCCCTCTTTTTATTTCTTTGATTTTGGCTCAAATGATTATGTTTCCTCTTTTGGGGAAGATTTCTCTGGGTGTTTTGATATTTGTTCTGATAGAAGGAAACCTTCCATCATTAACAGGTAATTTAAAAGTCTATGTTTGTTTTATCTACATAGCTGTAGTATATTTTCTTAAAAATACTATTATTTGATGTGATTGAAATTGAATAAATAGTACTCTATTAGTCTTTGATATTTCTTTATTTAAAATATTCTAAAATATCTGCAGTAACTTGAGTCTTCCTCTTGATTACTAATTCCTGGCTCAAGTCCCACTTCCCCTTATTTCTTGTGTTGAAATTGGATATATCCTTGATTTCAATAACAATCTTAGAGTAAAGGAGTAGAAATTAAATGGAAAATATTGAAAACTTCACTCCTTTCCTTCTTAGATATGCAAGTCTGTCTATAATCGGAGTATCAATTTCAAAATCCAAATGTGGCACAAGTGTCAGTTTTGTTTTTAGTTGCCTTTTGTGCCCTATCTTATGCCTCATCAAACGCCTTGATTGTGCTTTCACTCTATAGTACAAACCTACTTGGTTTTTGAAGAGATCCAAGAAACCAAGAGTGCAGTTTCTTTTCTCCTGCCCAAAGAATCTACAGAACGTTCTCTACCTACTGAGAAGCAGCAGCTTCTGGACCACAGAGAAGCTGAAAGACCTTGGTTCCTTAGAAGGCGGCGATCTATTTTGTTTCCTAATGGAGTAAAAATCTGCCCAAATGAAAGTGTGACAGAGGCTGTGGCAAACCATGTGAAGTATTTTAGAGTTCGAGGTAAGAAAACATCCTAATCCTTGGGCTCCCATAAAGAAATTCAAACATTATTCCATTACATTGATTAGTATCACATCGTAAGTCAAAACTTGTGATAATTTAGACAAAACTGAGCCAAATATTATCTATTTGCTATGAGCAAAGAACTTGCTAAGAATATAGTAGTAATATGATTTCAGAGGGAAATTTACGTCACTCTGAAATATGAAAAGTTTTAAATCTTTTAAGCACTTCAAGAATACTGGTTTGTATTGCTGGAGGAATTAATTTTGCTTCTCTCCATTACAATAATTTACCTAAATTTGTAAATTATTATATTTATAATAAGATTATATTTGCCAAGGTACACTCACCTGCCTCCATATTGATGAAAATATAATCAATTTATTTTGATTATATTTGCCAAGGTACACTCACCTGCCTCCATATTGATGAAAGTATAATCAATTTATTTTGTAGTTTAGACATTCCACAGATTGCTGTCTAGTTAGGACATACAAAAATTTTTATGTGTGAAATGGTAGCACTTCTCATGGTCCCTAAAGCATGATAACTTGGATTTTATTTTATTTTTTTAAAACAGTATGAGCCTTGAACTTATGCCTTTGGTCATGTGAATTCACCCTCTTTCTTACATTTACTAACATTGCTTAGTTGACCTTACTATGTCTCTTAGTCCTTTGGAGGATTTCCATGCTCTGATTTTTGCTGTTCAACAGACAATAAAAAGCCATAATATGGATGCAATGTTAGTAAGCTAAAGTGGAGATAAATGATGAAATGATAATGAAATCAGGCTTGTTCAGGCATGCGTGCATTCATTTTTATAACAAATGTTTAGTAAGCATTTGCTATCTTCCAGGCACTAGGTTAGATGAGCCTCTGTCTGAGCTACTATTATCAAATTATTTTTCTCTTCTTTGTCCTTATTTTCCATACCACATTAATAAAATAAAATAGAAATTTAGTATCAGATATTATATATATTTGATGTTTTTGTTTGTAAACTGGTAAAATGTATAGCAGCTCTTTTTTTTAGTATATTTATATTTCTTCATTGTATTTGGGGACCATCAAAAACTAATAAGCAATATGCTTTTCTTTTACTTTTTTGTTCTTTTTTATAGAACCATATCAAACTCAGGGCCTCATGCATGCTAAGCAAGCACTCTATCACTAAGCTTTATCTCCATCCCTTTTCCTTTTCCTTTTCCTTTTCAAATGAGATTCATTGACCTGACATTTTGTAAAATAGGACATAACCAGGAATGGGAAATTTCAAAGAGAATAGAAAGAGAATAAAGGAACTGAAAGTGAATTAGAAATACTATTATTTATGCTATCTGGATTTTTACTTTGTATTATTTTTAAATAGATCATCATATTTAGACATCTCAGCTGCTGGTTAATAGTGAAGAGAAAAGGACCAGTCACTTAAGGAACTAGTAATACTTTGTGGTTGTTTTGCTCTTGTTTTTATAAATTCAAGAGATACTATTGAAAAAGAAGCCAACAAAAAGAAAAATAAGTCATTCTTGGAATAATAGATTTTAAAATGTAGATGGTAGGAATGAAATCATTGAAAAGAGACTTCATAAAACTAAAATGATTGGCCTAGCACATCAAGATTAAAACAATGTTTATATAACTGTTACTGTCGTGATAAAAAACCCCAATATTTTGTTTGTTTTTCATTTGGGGAAATGAATATTTCAACTACGTCTTGATTTTGAAGAGATAATTTGGATTATAGCCTTAAAGTCAAATATTTGAAACTTGAAGGGAGGGATATATCTACTGTTCAATTTGTCCTAATAATTTGCCCAGTTTTTCCTTAATAGAGAATTTGGCATCAATTGCTAGTCGGTGCAACAAATTTGAACAACAACAAACTTGCATCTTCCATATTAGAAAGCAATTGCATTTAGATTAATATTCAGTAAAATCAAACGAATAGGACACTTAGAAACGAATGTCATTAATAGTCTCCTTTTTTAAAAATCATATTTGCAGCTGAAACTTTTAAAGACAGCTTTGATGGATTATAGGCATTTAAAGTAAACTTTGATTAGTTTTGACAAATATATTTACTCTTGAAGTCATCACTACAATTAAGGAATTTATCTTTTCCATTACTTCTAAATGATTCTTCTTGATCCTTTCTAATTCCTCCTTCCCTTAACTGCATCTCTTCCAATACTGAGGCTATCTGTCTATCTATTATCTATCTCTCTCTTTCTCTCTCTCTCTCTCTATCTATCTATCTGTCTGTCTTTATGTATTAGTTTGCATTTCTATAGTTTCACATATAAATAAAATAGTATGTGCTCTTTTTGTCTTTTTTTACTCAGTATAATTATTTTGAGATCAATCCATGATTCTTTTGTGTAGCAATAGTTTATCTTTTATTTTTGAGTAGTATTCCATTTTTTGAACACACCCCAATTTGGGATATTTGGGTTGTTTTTAGTTATTAGCAATTATGAAGAAAGGTATTATGACCATTTGTATTCAAGTTTTTGTTTGAACATGTTTTCATTTCTTTTGAGTAATTTTAGCATGGCTAGGTCACATGACAGGTATTTATTTAACTTTTATTTTATTTATTTATTATTTTTTTTTTAGAGTGAGAGTGAGAATTTTAATATTTATTTTTTAGTATTTGGCGGACACAACATCTTTGTCTGTATGTGTTGCTGAGGATTGAACCCGGGCCTCACGCATGCCACCGCTTGAGCCACATCCCCAGCCCTTTATTTAACTTTCAAAAAAGTACTTATTTTTTAATTGTAGTTGGACAATACCTTTATTTTATTTATTTATTTTTATGTGGTGCTGAGGATCAAATCCAGGGCCTCACACATGCTAGGCAAACACTCTACTGCTGAGCCCCAACCCCAGCCCTATTTATTTAATTAAAAAAAAAAAACTGTCAAATTGCTTTCCAGTATGACTGGCGTTATTCTCACAGTTTTAGATCTCTAGTTTTTCTACATCCTTTCAACTCTTGGTGTGTGTCAGTCTTTTTTTTTTTTTTTTTTTTTTTTAATTTGTGGTGCTGAGGATCGAACCTAAGGCCTCATACATGGGAGGCAAGTGCTCTACCACTGAGCCACAACTACAGTCCTGTTGTCAGTCTTTTTAAATGTTAGTCATTCTAATGCATGTATTTTTTGTGGCTTTAATTTGCATTGTCTTAATGACGAATGGTTTTGACCACATTTTTATTTATGGGTAGAGCACATTTTTATATCTTTTTTTTGTATATGAAGAGTGCATTCAAATATGTTGTCTATTTAAGATATTGGATTGTATATACTTGGGAGGCTAAGGCAAAAGGATCCTAGTTTTGAGGCCAGCCTCAGCAATTTAGCAAGAATCTGTCTGAAAATAAAAAATAAAAGAGACTGAGGATATATAGCTCAGTGGTAGAGCATCCCTTGTTCAATCCCATCACCACCAACAACAACAACAAAAAAACAATGAAGGCTATTATTGAATTGTAACAATTCTTAATATATTCTGAATACTAGTTCTTTGATATATGTTTTGCACACATTTTTCCTAATTTTTACTTTTTATTTTCTTAATGATATCTTTTGAGGAGCAGAAGTTTAATTTTGGTAAAGTACCATTTATCAGTTTTTGTTGGGGGGGATTATGTTTTGGTGTTGGATCCAAGTTTGTTTAACCCAAGATCATGAAGTTTCCTCCTATTTTTTCCTATAGAAATTTAAATTTTTAGGTCTGTATATTTAAGTCTATGATCTACTTTGAGTTAATGATGTATATGATACGTATGGATCAATGCTGATTTTTTGTATATACATGTAAGTTGTTCTAGCATTATTTACTAAAAAGATCATTTGTTCTTGCCAGCATACCTATATAATCTTCTGCATAAACTTTTGTATATTTCTATATTATTCATTTTGTTCCACTGATCTATTTGTCTACTTTTGTATGAATTCCCATTATTTTTTTTTCTTTTGGGTACCGGGGTCTGAACTCAGGGGCATTCAACCACTGAGCCACATCCCCAGTACTAGCTTGTATTTTATTTAGAGGCAGGGTCTCACTGAAGTTCTTAGCACCTTGCTGTTGCTGAGGCTGGCTTTGAACTTGTGATCCTCCTGTCTCAGCCTTCCAAGCAGCTGGGATTATAGAGTGTACCACTGTACCCAGCCAATTCCCATTATTTATTACTGTAAACATTAAAATAAGGAAACCATATAGTGTAAATTCTTCAATTTTATTATTTTTTAGATTTATTGGTTATGCTAGCTCCTTTGTACTTTATACAAATATAAAATCCTTTGTACTTTATATAAATATAAAACCAATCTTCTAATTTACACAAAAAAATGTTGCTGAGATTTTGATTGTGATTACAAGTTTAAAGATCAATTTGGGAACCTGTCATCTTAAGAACATCGAGTCTTTTGATGTATGAACATGATATATTTTTCCATTTATATTCAGATCTTCAATTTTTCCCAACAATGCTTTATAATTATTTATATTTTCTTTTTTGTTCATTTATTTGTTAATTCACACATGCAACCTTAATTCATAATGATTCTGCCAGTTACTATAATAACCACAATAATAAAGTCAATGTAGAATATGCAGAAATAAAGTATGTACAAGGTGTATATGTGGGAAGGACATATGTGAGTATACATCCATGCCTGGGTTAGTAGAAGCCAGTTGAACTGAATTTTGAAGAATGGGTTGGTATTTTCTAGAGAAAATATGCAGGGTCTTGGAACTTAAAAGCTAGGCATAGTTCTATATATTTAAAATGTACTATGCAAGGGGTAGAGTCCCAATGGATAAGGCCATATCTGACCCACACATAGTATTGTCAGATTTAGCAAATAAAATTCAGGGAACTGAGTTAAATTTGAATTTCAGGTAAATAACAATATTTTTAGTGTATGTATACCCCATGTAATATTTGATCTGCAGGTTTGCTGGCTCTGTGTCTTTAGGAAAAT